CAGTAATTAGAGGAGAGTTGCATGTCATCTTACCAGTGCCAGTATAAACCTACATCTGAAAAGATATCACAGATCTGTATTACTGAGGAAAAGAATCAGAAAGTATTAGGGCAGGCAGCAGGTCCACTTGTACTGTTTCTTATTCTGTACAGTTCTCACCTCCTACCACCTGCAGCGCCTTTTACATTACAATTACTGCTACTACCACCCTTAGGAAGAGCATGGTCGATATGGAGGATGGTGGCAATAGTTGACAGAGGCATTTTGGACAGAGAAAGTCAGACTAATTGCCCTAATCATCCAGTGAATTAAAAAATAAATAGGTTGATTTTTTTTTCTATAATATTTCCTCTTGCTTAGTTGCTACTGTCAGTGAAATTTACACCAACTATGGTATACTGATTTAGAATTATTTAACTGATATGTGATTTTTTTTTTTCTAGTGAGAGACATTACATGATTTGCAGTGTGCTTTACTGCCATTGCTTGAAATTTGCAAATTGCAAGCTTTTTCTCAGTAATAGATTGTGTCACAGTTTATTGCACAAGTGAAACCTGCCTGCATTGGGTGTGGTAGTGCTGTGTAATGCACTGTGGGCTGTTGGCAATGTGGTGCTTAATCTTTAAGCCAAATAATATAATAATACAGTAGAAGTAAATCCACCAAGCAGCAAACCATGTTTTAACAAAAACATTATGCAGGGTGAGATCACTATAATGTATGGCATTTTAAAAAAAGGGGAACAACTGCCACAGCAGCAGCAATCTCTCCTCCATTACTATAACTCTTGAAGAGTGAGTGACCCATTACCTCTGTGTACTTAAATATCTGTATATATACAGTATTACACTATGTACAGTTTTATATTTTACAGATAACTAGAGACAAATTGTAAGGTCCTCATTGATATAAGTATATCACATTGTGTGGTGGTGTTTTTATTGCGCACCCTGTACTTTGTACTTGTTTTAGCACTTTATGTAGTGTCTTTTCAATCATTATAGACACTAGCGTTGCTTCATCTCTCACAATTCAATAGTGCCAATTCATCCATATCCCATTGTTTTTAACTTTTGCTGTTTGTGCTTAGTGAATATGTCCAAAAACAATGTTTAGGTATAACAGACAAATGTAAAAACTCTGTCTAGAAGTTCTCGTATTGGGTGTCAGGGGAGAAAGAAATTAGCTGTAATGCTCAGTTTGCAACAGTATCCAGCTCTTAATTGGTGTGGTCACCTCTGTATCCAATTTGTTATATAGTGTCCGCCTTAAACATAATAGAGAGATGGAAACATAGCGTGATACAGTTTATTTATTAAAATTCCCCTTAATGCCCTATATGAAAACTCTTACAAGAGATTAGTGTGGTGCTTGTCTCCAAGTACCACTAACAAAATGAGGTACGGTACAGTATGCAGGAAACAGTTCAGGGTTACCACTGCGGTTCGCTCAGTGCACTTGAGCCGGGTGACATAGCTTGTCCGTCTGAAGAACATAAACCCTTGCTCCTGCTGGAATAAAGTTCATACTCCTCGAGATAGCAGGCTAAAATGTAGCTAGCATCATAAAGCATTTCAACCCAATTAATGAGAAAGCCTCATTAATTGGGGCGAAACGTACTGCTTTAGGGGTCCATTTAACCAATGACAGTGGGCTAGCTAGGCAATATTGCAACCATATGTGCATTGCAGCACAATAATAGGTGCCTTTTTTCACTCGTTTGGCTTGCCTAGATATTTTTACCAAATATTTTGCATATACAATGTACTTTATGCGGACAAAGTGAGTTGGATGAACCAAATGTATCCACCATTCACAAATCTAGTACTTATGCAGCTGTCTGTCATTGTATAATCAGTGAATTTAGAATTTATGAATTGGATGAAAAGTTAGTTTACATATATATCATTCCTGGAGGTTATTGTAGAAATATGGAAATTTAACAGCCATGCTTCTAAAATCTGCAGAGCATTCTGAGTATGACGTAGAAGTTTATATCAAAACTGCAGTGTTTAGTGCAGTTTTTGATTCCCAAAATATGTATAATGACATGTTTCATGTTAGCTTTTTCACTCTTATTCTCACCACTATTGATTATACTTCTCCAAAATATAAAATGGATAAACGGCACCAATTAAAATATTTTAATTATCAGGATGTTAATTACGCTAAAGGATAATGTTTTGAACATGACTCAACTAATAAAACACTGAATTGTTTCTATAAATCATGGTGTGTATGTCATGCTTTGATCAGTTGAGGTTGTGTGTCATGTGAACAAGGCAGTGATTTTGTGTGCCTGATGAGTCCGTCCTGAAGGTGACAAGAGGTGGTTAGAGGATGAAGAAATTCAATAGATGAAAAACAGCAATTTGTAATCCCTTTGTTTTATTGTATAATTAAAGACCAGCTTGATGGATAGTCTCTTTGCTACTAAACAAAAGTAATTGTTGTGCACTTCACAAAACGCCTTTCAAACAAAGAATCACATATCACAACATGTTTTGAATTTACAATATACTAAATGATTTAAACACGTACTTTTCTCCATGCCCTCTCTTGATGAAAATCTATTTTAAGAGCTTTTTTTATTCAAACACTTGAAATAGCATGATGTACTCATTGATTGGCCAGATCATGTTTACAAATCTGGTACTGCATTTAAGATTATAAAACCATAATTCTCTATGCCTCACACTGTGCAATGTTGGGACACTTATCTTAGGGTAGTTACTGGACTTTCAGACTGCCTCAAATTACTGGGAGTTTCACTCATTGGCAGTAGCTGATATGTACAGCTGATATTAGGGTTATTTACAGACATGAGATTCATAGTGAGTTTAAAGTGAATTTCTCATTTAAGGTCAGAGTAGCAGAAGTGAAAGTATAACTGAGTTGGAGAATGTTTCCAGTTTGTCTACTTTGTCTTTCAATTTGATATTAATTTAGAATTTGCATTAAATTTAGTGAATAACCCTGTATGATTCTTTCTCTCACTGTTGCTATACAGGCCCTGGGGAGATAGCGCAGCTAAGCGGACAAGAGCACATGTATGAGTGTGGGGATAGATATGTGGGTGGGATTATGTTCTGGGTAAGAATGTGTGGTTGGGATTATGTTCTGGGTAAGTTAGTGTGGTGGAGGTCTTACTTCAGTGCCACTTGGGATTCGGGCCAGCAAACAGCTTCCTGTCCTCCTGTTCCTGTTTGCCTGGGCCTGAAGGTTTACCAGCTTGAGGGATGGAGGTTGAGGCTTTCTGGCTTCCCTCAGAGCTGTTGCAGCACTGGATGGTGGCTGGCATCTCCGTGACCCAGGGCGCGCCTCACCCCTGGTATGGCTGCTGGCGTGGGTTCCCCCCCGCGGCCAGTATCCCTCTGGGGCCTTCCCTGTGGCCCCTCCTCATGGGGGCCAGCCTGGCTGGCATTCAGGGCCAGGGGACCACGTGGGGGTACCCTGCCACTAAAGAGGGGTACCCTGCCACTACTGGGGGGTACCCTGTCACTCCTCTTCGGGCCCGGTTGAGCTGTGAGTTCCTGGGCCGAAGCATCGCCAGGACCGCATGTCTGGGGGCTCCAGAAACGCGGCCTGCATCTTTTCATTAGGATGCGCGGCCTACCCGGCCTGCATCCATGGCCGGGGGCGGTGGATGGCGTTGCCGATAGCGTGTGGCTGCCCGGCGGCCGTTTATTCCGCCAGAGGCTGGCGGGATAGCGGGGCTGTGGCAAGGGCCCCCAACTGTGAGTAGGCCCGGCGGGGCCGCGCGGGGTACTCCAGTATCGCCATTCAGGAACGGGGGAGGACGTCTGGTGGGCTGGGAGCCTCCACTGCCGGTGTGGTAGGCTCCCCTGGGTCTCTCACCCCTGTCTCCCCCCACCCCTTGTCGCTCCATTTACCTGATTCCCCTTGGTGTCAATTGGGGGGCTGGCTTGCTCCGGGGCCCCCCTCTGGCTCCTCCTTCCGTTTTCTGCCCCCGCCCCCTCGTGCTGGGTCCTTTCCCACCCCTCTTTTTCCTTTTTCTCTTTTCTTTTCCTCCTTGGTGTGCTCCATGTTCCTGGGGGTCCCCCTGACCTCCTCCTCTTCTTCCCCTGTTCCCTCTGGGTGGGTCTGATTTTCTCTCTGTATGTCCCCCCTCCTGTGTGCCCTTGTTCTATCTATGTACCCCTTCCTCTCTGTGTGTCCCTATTCTGGCTGTGTATGTCCCTGTTCTATCTATTTGTGTCCCTGTTCTATCTGTGTGGTCCCCCCTGCTGGTCACTTACCTCAGCTGCCTCCTAGTGTGGAGCGTGGGTCACCTTCTCACCGTTGCTCTTCTCACAGATCCTGGCTGCAGTTCATAGAAACACCTTGGAAGAACACAATGGAAGCTGAATTCAGTGTCTTCTGTCTGGCCCTTCTCCGCTTGTTATGCCGGGCATTGGCTGGTGAGTACGTTGTTCCTTCTTTTATCCAGTCGGGTCCCTGGGGGGGGGGGGAGTCTTATCGCTATACAAAAAAATAAAATAAATAAATAAATAAATAAAATAAATAAAAATAAAAAAAAGAGAGAAACAGTACATGGACACCGCTTACCAGGGAGTCCCCCCCCATTCTCAATATTTATCGTATGCTTTAGTACAGATTCCTGCAGCGTCCTACGCAGTTAATAGCACTGGCGTTTTATGTGGCTCTTGGCGCTGCTGATGTGCACTTATATGGCCCGCTTGGCTTGCGCTTCTCACAAAATATTAGGGAGCAGATTGGGGAAGGGTTTTTATTAGAAATAGGTTTCCTCCTGCCACTGGGGGTCCATTGATTGAAAGGGTAACAAAAAAAAATACCGTATACACCCCATGACGCGCAGGAATTGAGTCCGGGCATTGTATGTTATGGATAGCATTGTCGGGGAGAGGTCTCTCCGAGAATGCTTGCACTGTTCTGCTGTCAGGACACCCTCTGGGACGCGTGTCGTGCCTAGGGTGAGCTGGGTTGGTGATGGTACGTCTTGCACTTTTAAACTCACCCGAGATTTGGATGCCCCAGTCCTTAAGTTGGTTGAGACCCTTTTCTGCATTAGTTATCACGTGCATCTTCCCTTCCCGGTGGATCAGCAGCTTGGCGGGGTATCCCCATCTGTAGGCTATGTTCTTCTCTCTCAGGGTGGTGGTGATCTGCACCAAGCTTTTCCTGTATTGTAGGGTTTCTGCGGACAGGTCGGCGAAGATTTTAATGTGCCCATATGGATCTGGCATATCTGCCGTCACAATCCTTTCCTAAACATGGAAAAAGTGGATGCGTGCTATGACATCTCTCTCTGCTGTTGGCGGAAGATGTTGTGGTCTTCTAAGGCGGTGTACCCTGTCCACTACCAGTTGGTCCGGCTGTGTGTCTGGGGCGAGTGCCTGGAACATGTCTTGGAGGTAGTCATGTAGGCCCGTTGGTAGTACCGTTTCAGGGATGCCCCTTATCCCGATGTTATTTATTTCTCCTGGACCGGTCCTCCAGATCAGCCATTTTGATTTTTAACGCTTGTAGATTTGCTTCCTGTACTTGCACTTTATCTGCCAGGCAGTTGTGTGCGTCCACACATTCATCTAGCTTCTGCACCACTTGAGCTGTGCACTGGCCTATTTCTGCTATGTCCTTCCTCATCTCTGCTGCCAGGCCCTGCAGTTGCTTTTTCACGCTTGCTTGGAAGGTGTCAGCTAATTCCAAAAGCATCAGCCTCATGGAGGTTGCTGTGAGAGGCTTTTCCCCTGCTAGGGAGCCTGTGGAAGATGCAGGTGAGAGGGATCCCTCGCAGGAGCTACCGGCTTCCCGCGGTTTTTTACCGGCTGTTCTTGCCAAGAAGAATTCTCTTTCAGCTTTAGCAGTCCTTTGCTTCTGTCTGTGGGTCATTGTGAGTCCTGGTGTGTCTCAATTATCGCTTTGCAGACCGTTTATTTGTGCTAAAATCCCGATATTGGCAGGAGCTTTACATGTGTGCATCCATGCCGATCGAGGCCACGCCCCCCCATTGCGGCAATCTTGAGGTGGTGTAGGCTGTTTATCATGTGACAGTGTCCACCCCCGGTGGTACTCTAGTCGCGGCGCCGTTGAGTCTGGAAGTGTCTGGTCAGGCATGGTTTTCCCGGGGGTTCACAATGTAATGGCCGATGCTTTATCTTGTTCACTGTGGGACGTACTTCGGGCAGGGGCTCTGCGGGGCCAAATTATAGGGCAGTGGAGATGTGGTCGCTTGGTCTAGCGGACCAATACATCAATAATAAAGATAATTTTTCTCAATTTACAATATATGGGGCAATATAATTACTCATCAAGGGGATATTCACTAAACATTACATATTTGTACCATATGTATACATATGCCGTTCATTTCTATTTTCCTATGTCAGTTAACCAATGTATACACATATCTCAGATCTTCATCACTATATATATAAAGACGAAATAATAATTAAATAATAATTAAAAACAAAATAAGGATTATCTCATAAAGCAAAATTATTATCAATGGGGATTATCTTTTAAACCAAAATTTTTTTAACAAGAAGATTGTAATAATAGGCGTGCGCAGCCTATTGCATTGGGGTGTGCACCCTAAAGCACAAATACACGCCATGTATGTATGTATGTATGTATGTATGTGTGTGTGTATATATGTATGTATGTATGTATGTATGTATGTATGTATGTATGTATGTATGTATGTATGTATGTATATATATATTACACATACATACACTGGTGTGCTTTGTGAGGGTTGTGTGTGTGTGTGTGTGTGTGTAAGGGTGCTTTGTGTGAGGGTGCTGTTAGTGTGATGTGTGTGTGAGGATGCTGGTAGTTTGCTATGTGAGTGAGGGTGTTTGTGAAGGTGCTGTTAGTGTGCTTTGTGGGAGGGTGCTGTTTGTGTGCTGTGTGTGAGGGTTCTGGCAGTGTGCTGTGTGTGTGAGGGTACTGTTTGTGTGCTGTGTGTGACTGTCGTTTGTTTGTGAGGGTGCTGTTAGTGTGCTGTGTGTGAGGGTGTTGTGTGAGGGTGCTGTGTGTTTGTAAGGGTGCTGTGTGTGTGTTTGTGAGACTGCTGTTAGTGTACTGTGTGTGTGAGGGTGCTGTTTGTGTGTGAGGGTGCTGTATGTGTGAGGGTGCTGTATGTGTGAGGGTGCTGTATGTGTGTGGGTGCTGTGTGGGTGCTGTGTGGGTGCTGTGTGTTTGGAGGGATTGTGGGGGTGGAGGTGGGGGCAGATTAGTAAATATCCCCCCTCCCTTCTTACCTTATGTAGAGAGGGGGAATCCTTGCTGCCATGTGCCATCCCTGGTGATTCAGCGGAAAGTGAACTCTAGCCTGCGGGGCTAGAGTTCACTCTCGCTAGATCTGAGCATTGCCACGACAACGCTCAATCTCGCGAGAGGAACCTGGCAGAGCTGCTGGCTAGAGCTCCCCGGGTCCTCTTCTGCCTCCCTCAATACTGCTGTGAGCCGGTGAGGTAGATCTTTGATCTCCCCACTGGCCCATGGAGGCTTAGAGCAGATCCGGCGCTCGGATAGATCCTGAGATCTCCCGTGCTGGTCTCAATCCATAGGAGTGCCGCGGGGATTAGGGTGTGCCCAGGCACATGCAGCACACCCTGTGCGCACCCCTATGATTGTAAGACTCAGTTTCAAATAGACCAAAAAAATCTAAGATTAGAATAAACTACTATTCTCCATTTAGAAAGAGATAGACAAATCTACACATAAAAAAATCCTATAAAGTATCACATACAAGAAAAAAAAATTTCCAAAAATTCTCTCTATATAAAAGATTCTATCTATCTATCTATCTATCTATTAAAAAAAAAAGGGAAAACAGAACAAAAGGATATATTAGAATATATTCACAAGAAATGGCATATCTCAAAACCCCTATTTAAACTTCTAGGGAACAATGCTTTTAACTTGAAGATCCACCTCATTTCTTGTTGTGACAATTTTTTCAAGATCTTCACCTTGAAAATGCTTTCCTATGGACGTTGGCGTTTTCTCACTGTGAAAATCACAGTGAGAAGCGCGGAAGCGCATCTAGCGGCTGTCAATGAGACAGCCACTAGAGACTGGAGTAACCTTAATGTAAACATAGCAGTTTCGTTGAAACTGCTATGTTTACAGCTGCAAGGTTAACCCTAGATGGACCTAGCACCCAGACTACTTAATTGAGCTGAAGTGGTCTGGGTGCCTATAGTGGTCATTTAATGCAGATAAGAATGGTACAAAATATTAGCTGAGGTCAGGGACACAGAAAGAGACACAACAAGGAAGCAAGCCAAAGTTCAAGGATACCAGAATAAGGGAAAGTCAAATTACAAGCCAAAGTCAAATATCAAAAAGAACTAGAACAAGAATGCACTCTCTGACAACCAACTAGTGGAAATCACGACAGGGCATTGACAAAATGCTATTTTGGGTTTAAATAACCATCTTGAGTTTGTAATTGGTTGTACCTGGCCTCTGACCCCAAAACGTGTGCCATCTTTGTTGTGGGCACAGGTTTCTTATTTAAACTGGAACTACAGCGGCCTGCGTTCCCAAGAATGCCGCACTTGCTGGGAACTGGAGCGAGAGGGGATCGGGCAGCGATCTTTCGCAACCTAGGTAAGTATAAAAAATTTCCGTCGGAGTGGCTGCTTTGTTTATGTGCAGCCACACAGACAAAAGAGCCGTGACAAAAATCAGCTTGCTTGCACCGGTTCTATGACTCATACAATATTGTCTATAAATGCCAAAGGTCTTAAAATGCCGTGTTAAACCATTCACACTTCCACATTGGATACCACTCACACTAGAGGGTTAACAGTACACATTTCTAGTTGGACCATACTCACATCTTTCTGACAATCTCAGCGTTACATCCATCTCGGGGAGAGGGAGTTTAAAGACTTAATGAGTCTCTTTTGGCACAGACAGAGAAGTGTCAAACTATAAAAGACAAACTAGAAGAATAATTTAATCAAAACAATTCACCACAATTCTTTCCAACAAGACTTTGACTTGTCCATAAGGCTGATGAACTGATCAAAATAGCCCTCCATAAAAAGAGGAGCAAAGCTCAACAGTTCACTTAATTTGAAAAGGTACTTACAGAGGTCACTTACATAAACAAGCCCCATCTAAGAATTTTGCCATACAATTAGCCCAAATCAAACAATCCATTATTGATAT